GTGAGAATCCTCTACCCCTGGCAGAGCTATTGGCATTTCAGAGAGCAGTCTGGCAGCACTTGGGGAAGGGCCCATAAATCTCACATCCCAGCAGATGCACTTCTGGGCAGGTGAGCCCAGAGGAACCTGGGAAGAGATGTATACAAGGACATTCTTGCATCGTCCTATAGGAGGAGACGTATACAAGGACGTTCTTGCATCCTCCTATAGGAGGAGACGTATACAAGGATGTTCTTGCATCGTCCACTAGGGTAGAGAGGAGTTAAAGCCCATCTGGCTGACCAGCCTGGGGGATGCAGACGCTGAACTCCTGTCTCTGCCTGACTCTGTATACAAATGGACAAATATCTGATATGTTTGAAACAATATATATGACAGGCACTTAATCAGCACCATAGATTTTTAAAACATGATTTTGAGCTGGCAACATGTGGGTGGGGGGAAGAAGAGGGGAGAGGGAAAGAAAAGAAGGGAGAGAGGGAGGAAGGAGGAAATAAGATCTCCGCACCAAACCATATATGTAAATAAAAAGATACACAAAATGGCGTGCCCACATGCCTGTACCCAGCACACTTGGTGAGAGCCCATGGTGGGAAGCAAAGTGTATGCAGAGAAACAGCAAACAGAGCAGAAGGGGACACAAGGAGCCGTGCGCTCCAGTCAGTGCCCAGACCCGGTGCTCTGATCACTCCGCTCTCCGCACCCGAGGCCTCCGGGATGGGGCGGCACAGTGTAAGCTCCACCCCAGACTAAGGGGTACAGGGGTGACGGTGGGTCTATGAGAACACACGTGACCATGACACGTAAGAGGAAGAGGAAGGAAGAGAAATCATAGGAATAATTAAATTTTTATGTCGTCCTTTTTTTTTTTTGCAGTTTTGGCCGGGGTCAGGTTTGAACCTGCCACCTTCAGTATATGGGGCTGGCACCCTACTCCTTGAGCCACAGGTGCCACCCCGTCGTGCTTTCTTTACAATTTGATTTTGTTAGAATCCTATAAGTTGATCAGGGAATTTTCTGGACTATATAGAATATGAAACAAGTTTTAGGGGGTTCTTTTGGGGACAGGAAATCATCAACTCGTCCGACAAAAGTGGTAATCAAGCAGGATACAGCAGGTGAAGGCTGATGTTACATTTATGTGTTGTACAGAGGCCTCAGAATATGTATTTATAAAATATTTATTAATAGCTTATTCAAAATCTAAAGCTTTCCACTTGCCTTTTATTTCTCCCTTCCTAAAATGCTAGCTGACGTGTTTTTGAACGCCATGTATATCTTTGTATAGACGCATTCCCGTGTATTTCAAACTTTGGTAAAACCCTATTATCCTACTGGCTGCCACTTCACTGGTTTAGATTGATGAACAGCAAATCGCTTTTCCCAGGACACCGAATCCTTAATCCAGCTGCATGTCACACTGGCCTGCAAACTCTTTTAAATGCAGAATTCCTGGTGGTGTCGCACATTTGTAATTCTAATCAGCTGTCCCCAGCGATCCTGGACACCCAGCTCAGCATCAGCACAGCCTCACGTCTCACAGGAGTGGCCGAAAGGTTAAAGCTGTACGATTACAAGTCTGTTTTATTAGCCTCAAGGCAGGAGCTCTCTCCTTATCCTGGCGGTAGAGAGGGACGCAGTAAGTTCCAAGTCCAGTTTTATAATTAGAAATACTACTCAGTGACACTGACCACACACTCCTGTAAAAGTAACCTTTATTTTGTTGATGGGAAAACCAAACCTGGATACTTAAAAACGCAGCCTGTCACGTCTAAAATAAAAAAATCTTTATTTTAATTAGGTTTCTGGTTTGGGCTTTCATAGGGCTGTTATGTGCAGGCTTGAATAGAAGATTTAATCACCAGTAAGAGAATGAAAAGGAAAATGGTGATTTGGGGGCAGCCTTGAGGCGCTTTGCTCCATCAGGGCGTCGTGTTCACGGTCCCTGAAAACGCCGCAGCGCCCGGCAGCGCGAGTCCTCTGCGCCCGAGCACAGGCCCTCGGGGACACGTCTTGCACATTTCTCATCCCGCCCGCAAGGGTGGCAGAGTTTGTCTGACAGCGGAGGTGCGACTCTGACACAGCTTAAGATTGGTGGCATAATAAGAAGCCGGTGATCCAAGGATAAAGTGTGAATCAGAAAAAGAAGTCATTGTTCTCGTTCCTGTAGCTGTAAATAACTTCACCCACAACTCCTGACTTCCATAACTCTAGGCAGAGCGCGAGGGGAGAAGCCTTTGAGGGGTCTTTATTTGTAAGGAAATCACACACACAGAACTGGATCTGCTGAAGAGGAGGGTTCTCGGCTGAGCCATGTCCTGACTTTGACCCCTGGCTGTGAACAGCATCCATCCGCCTTCCCACATCCCGTGTCCCACCCATCCCCCCAAAAGGAAGCAAGATTTTGGGGATGTCCAGTAAAGGAAAGCAATGGTGATTTTTGTTTCTTTCTCCAGGGTGGGGAGAGCCTTAGAGAAAAAAGTAAGTCGGGGTGGGGGGAAAACCTAATAATTTCATTGTCCAGAGATATTGGTGCTCAAATGAAAGCAGACGAGACTAAGCCATGATTAAGGAAAGAAAGAAACCTGGCGAATTGGTGACCATACTGTACTAATATGAGCAGAGCCTCCCACAAACAGGGAGGCCTGGGGACCCGGGACTCAGACTGTGGTCTCACATCACCTGAGCGCTCGTGACAAGGGCACGGTCTGAGGGCTCCACTGGCCCTACTGAATGGGGCATGCCAGTCAATGGGTCCGTTTAGTAATTGGCATTCCCATTTAGTTGAGAAGCATTAAGGCAAAACACTCAGGCTCCCAGTAAGTCAATAAATAATAACAAAACCAGGGGGTTTTAAACGGCTTTACTTGACAATTTAGTTCTTTTAACACATGCACAAAAATTATAGTGACTATACAAATAACCCATTTGAAGAGAGCGTGAAAAATCCAAGGTCTCAAATCAAGCTCTTTTGTGACTATCAGGCCCTAGTCCTCCGGGCCACGGGAACGAGTATAAAACCACCATCTCCCAACAGCTGTTTGGAGCTCAGTAACTCTTCATGCATCAGGATCGTGTCCTCACGCTGGATGTGAAAAACTTTCCTCTAATATGATGACACCGAGCTGTAGCACGGCCATCTGTATCCCTGCCCCAGAGAGGATTCTTTGTGGCGCACGGAATTATGTTTATGGCTGGGCTGAGACACAAGCTTAGCCTAATCGGTATCAGAGAAACCCATATGCAGTCTGTGTAAGCAAGAGGAGCGCGACCTCCAGGGCGTCCCACTGCCGCGGCACATAAATAATGGCGGACTGTCAGCTGTGCAGATGAGTCCAGCAGTGTAGTGCTCGGGGGACTCAAGTCCAAAGACAGAGATGAGTGTGGGTTGCTGGTCAACCTGGAGCATTCCTTCTCATTTTTCTGGATGTGTTTTTGACAGGAGCTTAAGGGCAGTTCAATAAATTAAAATGTATTTACATGGCAATGAAGAATTATCTTGACACACAGAGAGTTATTTAATTACCAAGGTGCTTTGCGTGCTGCTGAAGTTAAGACTGTGTCAGCCTTTCTGGGACAAATCTTTATTTTCAGGGCCATGTGGCTCAGCTGGGGATGATCCCCTGGGTTGGAACTTGTCATTTATAGAAGAGGAGTCTCCTCACTGACCCCCATTTCCATAGACAGCTCTAAACAGATCGGTAATCTCAATGTCAGACATCATGATGAAGTCAGCGCTGCCAAGGCCAACTGTCCCCCTTCAGGGATGTGGCCTCCCTCTCAGAGGAATTGTAAATGAAGTCATACCCCATTTGCAGTCTTCAAAGCATGTCAGAGTTGCTGTCTGTCTGAGTGACATTTAGAGAATTTTCTCGAGGCATCAAGAGGTAGGCGTATGAGAAAAGTCAGTGTCCAGGCTGCAGCATCAAAGCCCAGCAGGGGAACAGTGACCTCACTTTACCAGAGACAGGAACGGTTTCCCCCACGCTATGTACCACACCAATCCTGCAGGAAATGGGGTGCTGCTAGGGACCAGGCTCCACAGGAGGATAAGAAAGAGGGCAGGAAGCTGAATGCTCTGGGATGAACCCTCAGCACTCCATCATGTAGGCAGGAAAGAGGAAAAAGAAAAAAAAATTGAGCCTCAGTGCTCCTAGAACTTCTGCTTCCAAGTTCAAAGGTTTGTAACTGATTGATTTTGATCAGAGACAATATTGGCAATAGATATAAACAGTGACTTAGCTCATCCATTTGGCGAACCCAAGTCAACATGCTAATTATTTCAAATAAAAATGAAGTCGAGGCCAGGAGTGGTGCTCACACCTATAATGCCAGCACTCTAGGAGGCAGAGGTGGGTGGATTTCTTAAACTCAGGAGTTTGAGACCAGCCAAGCCAGAGTGTGACCCATCTCTACTAAACATAGAAAAACTAGCCAAGTGCCATGGAGGGTACCTGGGAAGCTGTGGTATGATAACCACTTGAGCGCAGGAGTTTGATGTTGCTGTGAGCTGTGCTGACGACACAGCACTCTACCCAGGGCAGCAGAGTGAGACGTTGTCTCAAAAAAAAGAAGTCAAAAAACCAAGCATCACTCATCCTTCTTCTTAGGAAGTAAACCAAGATGTGTTTAAAGATTTAGCTTGATGTTTTAGACAATGAAAATCGGCAGACTTGAGAAGCCTGTGAGCGGAACCAGCATCGCTGGTGGTCAAATGGGCGATTTGCACTAGGAGTCAGAAGCCCTGGGTCCCAGACAACTCAGCCCGGACAGCTGGTGGGTCCTCAGGGAAGTCAGTTTACCTCCCTGCTTGTCACTTTCCTCACAGACATTAGGGTTGGAATTACTAGGGAATGCTGGTTCAATCCAATTGTAGGATTCTGTTTCATTTGATTTCATTTCCCAATCTGACTCTCTATTCATTCCTTCTGAATAGTAACAGTCCTTCAGCTGATTCTAAGATTTTCAGCCACTGAACTATCCCAAATTGATTCCTCTAGGTCCAGATATCTTGACTCTGGTGGTGGGCTCTGACATCAGCCGCTGTCCCAACACCCCCTGGCCCACCTGCCGTGGTTACCTGCATAAGAGGACACACTCGGGGTTCATGAAGGGCTGGAGGAAGAGGTGGTTTGTGCTGAAGCATGACGGCTGCCTCCAGTATTACAAACACAAAAAGGTAAACTGAGGCAGGGGTGGAGGCTGGAAAGTGTACTCACATGGGCCATTTCATGAGCAAAGCATTGTCTCGTGAGATACCATGTTCTAAGATTCTGAAAGGAGAAATCTCTCCTGTGACCTCTAAGCTCAGAGAATGGCAATCTGTTTGTCTCTGCTGAGGCCTAAGTCAAGGCTGGCATAAGTTTCTGTCTTACTTTCAGATCCTCTGTGAAAACTTTATCAAAGCCAAAAAAAAAAAAAAAAAGCCCACTGTAGAGATAATGCCGAGATAAATCCAGGTGGGCCCAAGGCAGCGCAGAGCTCCCGGGCAGCAGGGCCAGGCTCTGCCCTCAGGGGCCGGGCTCAGATGTTATTAAGGCCTCTGAAGCAAAGCGCCAGAGAAGTGGCCTGGAATAACTTGTCTCATTTCCCAGATTTTATTAAAGCAGTGATTTCTACTACAGGTAAGGGTTGAAATCTTTGGGGGAATATTTTCAAAGTATGCAGACTCAGCCCTCCTGCCAGATGTTTCTAACTGGGCAAGTCTGGGCGGCCCAGGCCTCGGGTCTGGAAGCTCTTCAGGTGATGCAGATGGCAAGGTTCAAACCATCAGCCTGCAGGCGGCGTCCTGTCAGCACAAGTGTTTTCCCATCCCTGTGCAATACGGTGTCTACTTTTTCAATCAGTTGCAAATACTGTAAAATTTCACTTAGAAATTCCAATTTCCAACTTCTCTTGACAAATTCTCCAGCACTGGTTCGTGTGAGCTGAACAGACCCCCTCTTCTAGGGAGCCCATGGACTCTCGCATCCCGTAACTCCGGCCACATCTGTGACCCTCCTTTAACCCGCGTTCAGAGCAGGAAGTCTTGACTGTTTACCTCATTCATGATACGGTCTTATTTTTTTCTGCCTTTTCGTTTACATTGCCCCTGTTTCTTAACTAATGTTAAGCTGTATACATGTGTATATATCTGCGTGTGTACATATATATAAAATCATCCTTAATTCCTTCTGGAACAAAGAAAGAAACATATCAGTAACAAAATCAATACATTTAAAAAATGAGGAATAAGATGTGAATTACAGTGAAGACTTTCTGCTCCTGGATTCTGAATCTCTTACTTGTGACAGAGCCTGGGCAGTGCTCTGCCTTTCACGACGATATGAGCCTTTCAGCTACTTTGAAAACCTTTGTCTCCCTCCAGTGCAGGAAAATAGGATTCTTTCTCATCAGGATGAGAAAGGATGGTCTGTCCTTGCTCTCTGCGTTCTGAGTATTAAAGTGGAACAGGCCGACGGTTTCAGCCTGGATAAGCATTGCAAGCCCCTGAGAAGTTTCCCAAAGTACACGTGCAAACCATCCACTCCCCCTACCCTCCCAAATCTCCAAGAATGGGGCTCTGGAAATGATACACTTTTTTTCAAGCTTTCAAGGTAATACTGACTTATAACTCCAGAGAGTACCCTAACAAAGTTTATCCCATATAGTCAAAAGGCAGAAATAAAAACAACTAATGTAAGCTTGGGATGGGTTTTTCTTTATACTGAGATCATGTCCTTCCTACCTTTGGTGATAATTTTTGTTCTCTCTTGTGAAAGAGTGGTATTGTAGATACACCCTTTGAATGCCCTCCCTCAGCAAGGTAGATACCTAAAGCAACTTTATGTCAAGCACCCCGTGTTTTAAGATTCTTGCATTTGGGATTCAGAACGGTTCCTGGAGCCAGGATTTTAGGTACGGCTTACCAGGTGGCAGTTATGGGGCCAGTGTTGCCTGCAGATGTTATGTTTGGCTTGTGCAATGTTTTTATAAATTTTTAAATTAAATGCACCCAGGTGAAGCATATGCTGTCCGATCTGCTGTAATCCCTGCCAGTCTTCACGTCTTTACGGTGAGCCGAGTCACTTAAATTACCCGCCACACCCTCTAGGGATCAGAGTCTGTGAATCCTGGGATGCAATCTGTGTAAAATTACACCTGGGATGGTAATTAATAGTAGTTGGGATTAGTATATGTTTTTAACTACTTCCAGTCTTTTTAAAAAAGAAATGTGGATCTTATGATTTAGATACAGCTAAGAAAAAACTACCATGAGTAGCTACAATTAAGACCATCGTTTACCACAACGGGTTTTAATGTGGAAACGGAAAAATATAAGAATACTGCTCTATCTTGGTTATGAGGAGCCAACGCCAGATCCCTTGTGGCACTACAGATTCCAGAACACATTATGTCTGATCTTCAGCGTAGATAGCGGTGACTGAGAAAGGTTAATGGGGCATAAGAAGAACATAACAGAATAAATTAGCAGAAAATGAACTCAGCCATACAGTATTCATTCATGCAGCAAATATGGAGTGAGCACTTTGTAAGTCAGGCATTACGCTACAAGCTCAGAAGGAGCAAAACGGACACTGGGCCTGCCCTGTTTGTGCTTGTAGTTCAGTGAAAAAGACTGGCATTAAGAAATAGATTCTCACGTTGTGGTTGACACCGTACTCCCACTTACTAGGGAGGCTGAGGCAAGAGAATCACTTGAGCTCAAGAGTTTGAGGTTGCTGTGAGCTATGACACCACAGCACTCTACCAAGGGTGACAAAGTAAGACCCTGTCTTAATTTAAAAAGAAGAAAGAAAGAAAGAAAGAAATAGATTCACAAATAAAATGTGTAATTATGATTGGTACTGTAAGTAAATTCACAGAGAAGAAGAAGAGAATTTTAGCAGTCTGGATCCAATCAGGAGATAGAATCACAAAGGGAGCTTGCTGTATTTATTTTTTTAATCTATCTATTTCATCTCATTCTGTCACTCTGGGTAGAGTGCCTTGGCCTCATAGCTCACAGCAACCTCAAACTTGTGGGCTTAAGCTATCCTCTTGCCTCAGCCTCCTGAGTAGCTGGGATAATAGATGCCAGCCACAATGCCCAGCTAATTTTTTTCTATTTTTTTTGTTTGTTTTTAAGTAGAGACAGGGGTCTCCCTCTTGCTCAGACTAGTCTTGAACTCCTGAACTCAAGCAGTCCACCTACCTCAGCCTCCCAGAGTACCAGGATTATAGGTGTGAACCACTGCACCCAGCAAAAACAGGAGCTTTAAACAGAGGAAGTTTAATAAAAGAATTACTAAACTGTGATAAAGTCACAACTATGGGGTATAGTAACAAGTGAGGACATACGAAAAAAGCAGCCCCTCTCCAGGGCTGGGGATTCAGGCCTCTCTGGGAAGATATAGCTGAATTCACAGATGGCGGAGCTGCAGGTGCTAGGACAGAATTAGCAGTCACAGAGTAAACTGAAGCAACCATTCAGGGGTGGGGAGGGCATAGATAGGGCAAACGAACCTCAGCTGGTGGCCAGTCCATGGGTCAGCAATGGGGGTGAGGATGCCGGGTAGAAGGAGGCCTGGGGGCTGGAGGTGTCCTTGCTGGAAAGGCCCTGCTGGAAGGAGGTGGTGTGGAGGGGCTGTAAGAACAAACCCAGCAGATGAGGAAGGGAATCAGAGAGGATGAGGGCATCAGGGCCAGTGGGCAGGACACCTGAGCACGGGGTAGATCAGAGAGGATCAGGGCATCAGGGCCAGCGGGCAGGACACCTGAGCACAGGATGCCCATATGGAGAGAGCCACGGAGAGCGACTGCTGGGCGTGCTAGGGCTGGTCTCAGAGGGACAGTGCACTCTGGGTGCACGGCATGGATAAAGCAGCACCGGACGTCAGTGCACCCACACACTGACCCACCCACCAGGAGCTGGCAGGAGCGGTGGGCTTCCTCCCCCTCAGTGTTCCCCTAGCATCCTCTCCTGAGATATCTCACTGCCACACTTTCTGTAAAGGAGAACTTTATGGAAAGAAATTCCATCCATTATTGCTGAGCAGATATTGAGGAAGGAACTTGGAGCTGAGAAGCAGTAAGTTGACAACAGGCTCAGGAGTAAGGTGGAGGGTCCAGTATGAACTAGGAGGAGGGGTCATGTGTAACGCATTCCTTTTTGGAGATAGAGCATTTATACTTTTATGTTTTCTAAATTCTTTTTAACAATTTTTGTTGCAAAATATTAAGGGGGATACAAGTATTTTCATTGCATCAGTGAATTGTATAAAGCTGGAGTCAGGGCTTTCAGTGTGTGTCGTCAGAATAGTGTCCATTGTACCCAGCAGGTAAGTTTTTATCCCTCCCCAGCCCACCCTCTCCCTTAGTCTCTGTGTCCATCACACCACTTTCTGACCATGCAGATCCATCCCTTAGCTCCCACCTATTAGTGAGAATATATGGGGTTTCTTTTTTCATTCCTGAGATCCTTCACTTAGGATAATGGTCCCCAGTTCCATCCAACTCACTGCAAGTGACCTTATTTCATTCCTTTTTACGGCTGAATGGGGCTCCATAATATGCATTTTCCACTCCTTGGCTGATGGGAACTTCAATGGCAATTGTGAATTCCGCTGCAAAAAGCATTTGGGTACAGATGTTATTTTGATATAACTTCTCTTCCTTTTGATAGTTACCCCAGTAGTGGGATTGCTGGATTGAGTTATAGGTCTACTTTTAGTTCTTTGGGGAATCTCCATGCTTTTTTCCACAGAAGTTGTACTAATGGATAGTCGACCAACAGTGTAAATAGTTTCTTGTTCACTGCATCCATGCCAACATTTATTGTTTGATATTTTAATAAGACCAGGCTGATAGGGGTAGGGAGTACCTCACTGTGGCCTCAATTCACATTGTCCTGATGATTAGTGATGCTGAGTGTTTTTTCATAAGTTTGTTGGCTATTTCTATATCTTCTATTGAAAAAACTCTGTTTATTTCTTTTTTTTTCACTTTTTAATGGGGTTATTCTTTTATTCTTTCTTTTTTGTTGTTTTTGCTGATTTGTTTGAGTTTTCTGTAGATTCTGGATATTAGTCCTTTGTGAGATGAATCGTTTACAAATATTTTCTCCCATTCTGTGGGTTGTCTGCTTACTTTGTTGAGTATTTCCCCCACTATACAGAAACTTTTTTAATTTAATTAAGC